GTCTTCTTGACATTGAGCCTCAGTCCATACTGAAGCCTGCAGTCCTTGACCATCTGCAGTAAGTGCATGAGGTCCTCCTTAGTTTCACTGAGCACGGTTGTGTTGTCTGCATCACGCAAATTGTTGATAGATCTGCCACCAATCCTAACGCCACACTTCTCCTCATAGAGCCAAGCCTCGGATAACCTGCTCTGCATACAGGTTGAAAAGGTATGGAGATAGGACACATCCCTGGTGTACACCCTTCCCAATTTTGCCCTGCTCTGTTCTGATGACTGCCTCTTGGTCCAAGTCGTCTAAGGTACATAACAACAAATAGAACAATACCAGTTTTAGATTGTCATTAAGGCAGCTCTCAAAGCAAAACTCTTTCACAAGGAACTCCTGTATGGCACATTCCCAAGCCTCTTTGGGCAACTTGTCAACTTTTCAGAAAGTTCTCTTCTTACTGTTAGGATAGGCCTTCTCTCAGATTTGTCTAGACAGAGCTTCTCTTTGTCTTCACCACTGGCTCCCTACAGGTCTTAGGGTTATAGATGTCACCACAGCAAGAGCTCTGTCACTGCGTAAGATTAGCTCAATTCTGCTTGGTATGTACCTGTTATTGTATACTGTAGAGTCAGAAGTGACCCACAGCTGACCCTCCAGCACGTTCTCAGAGGCAATTAGTCACACGAGAAGAGATTGCCCATCTTTATTCCACAGAGTAGCTGATGACCTCGAACCACATAACTTGGGGATGGCAGCACAGCTTCTTGCCACTAGGCCACCAGTACTCCCTGGTATACCTAACAGGGTCCAAACTGGTTGCTTCACCTTTGCAGGGCGCCCAGCTCCACTGGCGACATCCTGATAGGTTACATTCCTATTCACTAACAACTTCTTGACTAGAGGTCCCATTGGTTGGCTCACCCACCTGCACATTCTGCTGGTTTGTGGTTCCTACTGACAATAGCACTGCAACCATTTCTTTGACACTGGACAAGCAGAGTTCTCTTAATCTTCGACGTTATCAGCTCAGTTTGTGTCTCAGACTCATATAGCAGGTTGGCAGCACAAGGATCCTGATGCCAAATCACAAGCTCTTCTCTAGGTTCTCATTGATCAAACAGTCCCTAAAAATCCTCTGTGAGATTGACAGTTTATATAGGAAAATTCCTCATAAATTTCAAAGTATGGCCCTCTTAGCAGACTTTTAGACTGGCAAGCATATTGGGTGAATTGCAAGGTGCTTATGCAAATAGCAAATTGACCAATCTACAAAAATATACTTATGCAGATAGCAAATGGATCAATTCTTGCAAGCTACTTGGTGGGTATCAAACAGATCAACCACCTGTAGATTGCAGTCTAGCCACCCATTTTGGGTAAATTGCAAAACCAGGTCCATAAAAGGCACATAAAAGAAACTCACTGCATCTCAGTTATTCATCATATCCCTCTCCCCCAGCCCTTAACTTCCCCAATTTCTTTTCTGTGTTTACAATGGTGCCCCATCTAGATATTTTATATAAATGGAATTAAGTAAATACCTGACCTTTTGTGACCGGCTTCTTTCACTCAGTATAATAATTACATGGTTCATGTTCATTATAGCCCTTTTTTTTATAGGTACAGAACATTTTGTTTGCCCATTCATTAGTTGATGGACATTTGGACTGTTTCCACATTTTTTTTTTGTCTAGTGTGAATAATTCTGCAATGAACATAGATCTACATGGTTCTCTGTGGATATTTGTTCTCATTTCTCATGAATTATATACACAGGAGATAAATTGGTGGAATCTGAGTGGTGACTGATGACTTGAATCTACCATTCGCTCCACAGGAGAAAGGCCATCTCCCTCTGTTATGATTTACAGTAGCAAATTTGGGTTTTGAGTTATGAATAGTGCAATGATGACATGGTCAGATGAAAAAAGATCAGTTGTTTGACTTCATTGATGGCTCCATGTAAGAAAAGTCCTGGCAATTTGCCCATGTAAAGAGTATAGCCCAAGAAACCACAAACTTATTTCTATTCTGTCTTAGAGAGTCATTATGGGCCAAAATGGAATGATAGGACACAACAAAATGATAATTATACATTTACTTTTTTGAGGAACCACTAGGCCATTTTTCAAAGCACAATCATTATTTTGCATTCTCTACAGCAATGTGAGAGGATTCAAAGCTCATCAACACTTGATATTGTTTTGTTTTCACTATTATCATAGCCATCCTAGAAGTATCTATTTATACTCTTATTTATATTAGGCAATGGTTTAAAACGGATTAATTTTTATGAAATTTCACATTCCTTCCTAGTGCATCTCTCATTCATAATTCTGTGTCCATCGCATAAATTCATGTGAGAGTGCTGTCACTGTATCACTGATTACAAGAAGTGGTATCTCATCATCAATCTAATCTTTATGGATATATAAAATAGTCGGTCTAAAATTTTTCAGAAGAAAAAAAACTCAGCAAACCTGGTATACTCTTCTCAGGTCTTAAATTATCTTTCTTTCCTTTTTACGTTGTAATTGCACGTAAGGACATCACTGTATTGAGAAGAGATTTCCCTAAGATGAGCTGTACAGAGGAAATAGATTCTGAACAACAGAGCTGCCCTTTATGACTCCCATCACCCATTCCCCTGAAGCCACTATGATCAATGCCATGACATCTAAATGATGACTGTTGAAATGCCAGGTCTCTGAGGAATAACAAGGTGTCTTTAGTCAGTGACTAGCAAGGAGACATGGAAACCATTATGAGGCTTGGCTGGCAAAAAGTTCGAAATGGAGAAAACCCAAAACCATACTTGTTGCTATGGAGTCTATTTCCATTCGCAGCAACCCTATAGACCACCACAAAATTGTCCCACTCCAAACCTGTAAAGCTCTAGCAGGCTGTTTCATTTTTCTCCCATGGGCAGCTGGTGTATTTGAACCAATGACCTTTGGATTAAAAGCTGAATGCTTAACTACAGCACCATCAGGGCTCCTTGTGAGACAAAATCGACTCATTTTTTTTTTTCTTTCTGATAAGCATCACCCCCCCTCCATAGGCGATACTTTTTAAAAGAAAAATGAAATTTAATCTATCACCAATTTCCTGTATCACTCTTATTTATATTAGGCAAGGGGTTAAACAGCTTAGTTTTTATGAAATTTCACATTCCTTCCTAGTACACCCCTCATTAATAATTCTGTGTCCATCACATAAATTCATGTGAGAGTGTGCTGTCACTTTATCAATGATTACAATAAAAAACACATTACAAAAGTTAGCTTCTTTCAGGATCTCTTAGCTTTAAGAAATTATATATATATATATATATATATATATATGCAAGTGATTGTCTGGATAAAGTAAAGAGGCTCAGAATTTTTTTTTCTCTTAATATTCTGCATCCTCCCAAAAAGAAGGCCGGTTTCTATTTATCTCTCTTTTGCATAAACTGTAATTGGAGGCAAGAGGAGGCTGAGACTCACAGCCCCCACTGAGGCACAAGCTGGTTGTATAGAAGGAGAAACTTCAGTGTAGCTAGAATCAGCAGAATTGGAAGAACAAAGAGCAGGGGTCTAGTAGGTCATTGGTCCCAGAGACCACACCTTTCATGCCAGATAGAATCCCATGGGGCTGTGCAGCACTAAGGGACAGGCACTGGAGCTTTGCATAAAGTGAGATTGATCCTTCGACTGTAATAATTTGGGAAGCTAAAGGTGAGCTGGAGAACAGGTCCAGAGGTCCTTACGAAATCATGGTAATTGAACATCCACTCTTTCTCATACAGAAACCATTCAATTCTTAAATGAAGTCCGCTAACTTTAGCTGTGTCCACAACGGTTTCTATGTCATAATGGCTTAGGCATCTGAACTAGGGCCAAGTCATACATCAGATGGCGTGAGAAAAGGCCTAATTCATAGGATTCCGGGGAAAGACCCTGAGTGTCCTCTTGTAGTTCCTGGAGTTGCAAGTTTGGTTGACTACATGGCTGGCCACGCATGCATCTGTGGGGCTGTGATTCTCACCAGCCCAGGCCCTCATATTTCCCTCCCCTGGCTCCTGCCAACTCTCCTGGGGACAAAGTACAGCAGGGGCGCAGGCGGGGCCTTTGGAGCAGCGCAGCCGTATCTCTCCGGAGTGAACACCTAGATGGATTTCCAATACCGCGCCTGACACGTTCTAGTGGGAGCATCAGGCTCCTCCCGTGCTCCTAGCTGCGCGTCCTCATTTCTGCAGTCGATATTCCTCTGGGAGACGCAGTGGGCTCTGGGCACTACAAGCTTTATTAAGAGATTTCGCAACGGTTTACTCAGGCCCTTGAACACTCCCGCCTGTGAGGAGCTGCGGGCGCTGTTAGAACGCAGAAGCCCCTGGCGCACGGTGGTTGTCGTTCCTCCCGGTAAAGCTCCAGCCTTAGGGTCTCTGCCGCGACTCTGAGAGTATTTTTGTGGGCGCCTATGTTGGGGTAGGGCCCAAAGAAGGGATTTGGACTGCGCGCAAAACGTCCACGCGCTAGCGGATCGCACATGCACTCTGCACCAGCCATCCCTGAACGGGTCTGGAGGTTCAGAGCTCTGGGTAAGTGGAACCGGGAGCTCAAGCGGCGGGCACCTGGGGAAGGGAGAGCCCAGACTTGCAATGAGGGAGCTGGAGGAGGAGTTGGGGTCTCCTGGGAGGAAGTAAGCACTGGAGAAACTAAGAGGAACTCCAGCCCTCAGTGCCTGGGGTCTGAGGTCAGATTCAGTCTTTACTTTGGATAGCAGCAGGCGGGCTGGAACCATATCTATACACCCTTGACTTTATCCATCCGACAGGAAGGAAGAGAAATTGCGCGGTCTCTCTTAAGGTTGAGTACAGGGTGGGGCGGGGGACGCCCGGAAGCAGCTGCTCGAGTTGAGCAGAGCGCAGATTTGAAAAGTAAAAAGAAACTGGGGGCCGGCGGAGGCGAGCCACCTCTGTCAACCTCTCCCCTCTCCCTTACCTCCCCCTCTTTCTAAAGCTGCTGACGCGCGGGTGATGCCTATTAATCATTCACCAGCCCAAAGCATAGCCAGTTAATGGTTGTGCCGCTCAGAGCTCCAGCCTCCCGGTCTCTTCTATCCACGCTCACCGGTGCCCTGATGCCCGGGAGCTCCCGGCAGCAGAGCACAAGTACCCGCTGGACGATGCACTCCGCCGGCCCCTTTCCGAGCCGCGCTCCTCGGAGCGGCCGCGCTCTCCCCTGAGCTAGTCCACGGAGAGCTGCCGGCTAGCGGCGGCCCCGGTGCCAAAGGAGGGCGCCGGCAGTGGGGAAGAGCGCCCAAGACCTTGAAGCCCCGACAGTTCCCCCACCCCCAAGTTAGGATGTTCCCCAATGGCACCGCCTCCTCTCCTTCCTCCTCTCTTAGCCCTAGTCCCAGCAGCTGCTGTGAAGGCGAAAGCGGCGGCGGGAGCCCTGGGGCCCGAAGCGCGGACGGCATGGAGGAACCAGAGCGCAACGCGTCCCAAAATGGGACCTTGAGCGAGGGCCAAGGCAGCGCCATCCTCATCTCTTTCATCTACTCGGTGGTGTGCCTGGTGGGGCTGTGTGGAAACTCCATGGTCATCTATGTGATCCTGCGCTATGCCAAGATGAAGACGGCCACCAACATCTACATCCTTAATCTGGCCATCGCTGATGAGCTGCTCATGCTTAGCGTGCCCTTCTTGGTCACCTCCACGCTGCTGCGCCACTGGCCCTTTGGCGCCCTGCTCTGCCGCCTCGTGCTGAGCGTGGACGCGGTCAACATGTTCACTAGTATCTACTGCCTGACTGTGCTGAGCGTGGACCGCTATGTGGCTGTGGTGCACCCCATTAAAGCTGCGCGCTACCGCCGTCCCACTGTGGCCAAGGTGGTGAACTTGGGTGTGTGGGTACTGTCTCTACTTGTCATCCTACCCATCGTGGTCTTCTCTCGCACAGCTGCCAACAGCGATGGCACAGTGGCCTGCAACATGCTCATGCCAGAGCCTGCCCAGCGCTGGCTGGTGGGCTTCGTGCTGTACACGTTCCTCATGGGCTTCCTGCTGCCTGTGGGAGCCATCTGCCTGTGCTATGTGCTCATTATTGCCAAGATGCGCATGGTGGCCCTCAAGGCTGGCTGGCAGCAACGCAAGCGTTCAGAGCGCAAGATCACTTTGATGGTGATGATGGTGGTCATGGTATTCGTCATATGCTGGATGCCTTTCTACGTGGTACAGCTGGTCAATGTCTTCGCGGAGCAGGACGACGCCACAGTGAGCCAGCTCTCGGTCATCCTTGGCTACGCCAACAGTTGCGCCAACCCCATCCTCTATGGCTTCCTCTCAGACAACTTCAAGCGCTCTTTCCAGCGCATCCTGTGCCTCAGCTGGATGGACAACGCTGCAGAGGAGCCAGTCGATTATTACGCCACGGCCCTCAAGAGCCGCGCCTACAGCGTAGAGGACTTCCAGCCTGAGAACCTGGAGTCCGGCGGGGTCTTCCGTAATGGCACCTGCACATCCCGGATCACGACGCTCTGAGCGCGACTATACAGGACAGAGTAGAGTGGGGGAGAAAGGAAGGCCTGCGCAGGAGAGGGGGCGGGACATCCCAGAGCGATCGGGGTGTGCCAGAGCAGGATAGGACCGGGACTCTAAGGGCCTTGAGTGGAGGAGGCTGAGGAATTGCATGCCCCAGAGAAGAAGTTGGGCGCTTTGCTTTGTTTTTAAAGTGGGAAGGTTTTCAGGCCTTGTTCTCCTGGACTCCTCACTCTTGAGCACTTTTCTTCACTGTCCTTGCTCCTCTTTGTACCCAGCAATGTACCCCGTGGTAACTTGGATTCATCTTTCCACCTCACCATGTGCAGATCACGAACTGTAAAGTTGGTCAGCTAGTCCAGACCCTGACCCCCTGCAGCCTTTATTTTGTTTAAGCTGAGCCAAGCTCACTTACGTGGGAATTCTGCGAAAGGGGGTCCACAGCTCCTCTTCAGCCCCGCCTTGCTGCGCCTTCTCTAGGCAGGCCTCCTGCAGGGCTGTGCCTTGTACCCCCAGCGGAGCTCTGGAAGGATTGGCTGTCACTCAAGCTGTCCTTTTAAAATACAAGTTTTACTTGAGAAAGAACTATGTAGCACACCATTTATCCAACCCTCAAATGGGGCTGCTAACCGCTCCTAACTCCCTTCACGACTCCTACTCTCCCAGAGCGGAGCCTGGTGCTTGGTAAAATCGGTCCGCGCCTAGAATCCCAGACTGTTGTCTCCCCCCGCCACAGCTTTCCTCTGGAGCGAACAGGAGCTGAGAACAAGCTGACCAAGGGTTTTGCTTTGTAAATTTTTGTTTCTTTTAAAAAGAAGATTGTAAGGGTACTGGAGTTGGAATGGAAAACATACTGTCTCAGCCAGGCGTTCCGGGTTTCATAGAGCAAGCGCTTGGCACGCCTGGGGACCGGACCGGTGTGCTTAAGCGCGGGGGTGCGCTCTCCACGGAGCGGAGCTCAGGAGCGCCGGAAAGCCGCTGCAGCTCAGCTTGGCTCTCTCCCCGGTTCCAGCCTCCGCAGAAGGCTACATAAGATTATCAACAGACTGGATTTTCTACTCCGGCTTTTACCCAAGACCCAGCATTAATCTGGAATTTGAGACACTTCCTAGTCTTGGTCAATGGGCCCTATCCCGGTTGTGGCGGGTTCCAGAAAGAATCGTGCTGGCCCCCAGAGGATTGCTGCCTTTTGAGTGGTGCCTAATAAGTTATTTTCCTGTTTAATGTTATTTATTTATTGATTGATTGATTTGAGTTGTGATATTTGAAAATATGTCTCTGCCTTCAATCTCTCCAGTCCAAAAGAAAGTGGGGTGGGGAGTGGAGATGGAGGTGGGAAACAAAGCTCTACCCTGAACACCTCAAGACTTTCCTTTGCTAGGACCTCTTTTCTTATCCTTTCATCAAACTTTTCTAAATTTGCTTGTGTCCAGTGAAATGTGGATATTTTTCATATTTGCCCCCTACTTGTTTTTTACTGTTGTTTCCTGTTTGTTGTATAATAATAAAAAGTAAATGACAATGTGGATTAGCCTGTTTATCATGCAGTGGAGCTAGTCCTGAACTCCTAGCTTAAACTTACACCTGATAGGAGGAGAGGTTTTTTAAAAAAATATATAATATTTGCTCCACGATTCCATGAAACAATTATCACATACAGCCACTAATAGGAATGAGTGTGTGAGACTGGCTGGAACATCTTGAAATTCAGCCATTCAAGCATCATTGAAACTTGATAACTTTAACTCAAACAGATTTTTAAACAACACTAAGGATGCTACTCATTCCCTAGGTTCCAGAAAACTTGGTTCAATAGTGTGATCTAGCAAACAACATTATTTCTTTTAAGGATGTTGCAAGTAGAATGATTTGTGTGTATTGTGTGGTCCCACCAACTGCAATGGAAGTCTGAATAAGACAATGACTAATAACTGTACTTTTTTGTATTTCCTGAATTGCTTTAGTATTCTGGCCTGTACATAGTAGGCATTAAATACATATTCATTCGTTGATTGTTTATTGTTTAAGTAAATGAGAGTGTATTACCAAGACCAGGAGATGCTAAACCTGGGACTCTCAGGTTCTCTCATTGACATGGTACACCATGGTTAAAAGTACTATTGGAAAAGATACTCTTTATGTATATTCCCTTGAAGAACCTCTGCTTTCCTGAAAGCAGTAACCAAGAATTTTTAAAAAGTCTGGACTGTTCTGCTTATATGAATGAACAAACATGCTTCTGGTCAGAAATCAGAAAATTTAAATCAATCTCTAAACACATATAAATATATATTCTTATTATTCCTTTGGAAAATAGATTTCTAATGGTTAAGAACAGTGACATTTACAATTCAAAATCCTGACCATTATCCTCTTAAGAGGATACCAGTCTAGTGCTCTTAAACTGCGGTCACACTTGTAATATTAACAAAATAAACAGGTGTATGTTTCTGTTGCGAGTTGTCTGACTTTGTGATTTGAATTTCACTTGGAAGTACACACACACACACACACACACACACACACACACACTGACTTGACTGTCCTGTGTTTCACTTACATTTTTGAGAAGAAAGATTACAAGTAAATTCTGGAAATTTTACCAACATTATCATTAAACTTCGAATTATTTTTCCAAAGAAAGTTTACTAGTTTAGGGGCGGGGGACATCCCCAAAGTTAAGTAATAATAAATAGGAGGCAACTAAGGGCTGTCTTCTCAGGGGTCACTTAGGTCAATTGTCATAACATAGTTCAGAAAGATCACGTTCAGTATCCTAGTTTGGTGAGTAACATTTGGGGTCTTAAAAGCTTCCAAGTCACTACCTAAGATTGTTATTGATCTCTTTTTATATGGAACAAAGGAAAGAAAAAACAAAGCTAAGATTCTAGGAAGCAATCAGTCCTCTACACTAAAGGCCTATATAAACCACTATCTCCTCTAGCATGAGACCTGAAGAACTAGATGGTACCTGGCTACCACCACCACTTCCTATGACCAGGAAAACAATAGAAGGCCACAGTCTTCTAGAATAATCTAGAACATTCTACAACAAAACTAAGCAACATTTTAGAACAAAATTAAACACTCTAGAACAGAACTAAAATTCCTTTTTTAAAAAAGTGACCAGGCTTACTTGGTTGAAAAAGCTGGAGGAACCCTGGAGAATATTGCCTCAAGACATCTTTTTAACCTGAACAAAAGCCACTCGCAGCACTCACTTCTCAGCCAAAATAGATTTGGCCTATAAAATACTCACTGACTCTCACAAGGATTGTACCCTGTATAGCAAGTAACCGTAAGGAAACAAATGGGCATTTTTCCCAGAAGCAAAGACGGGATAGTGAGGAGCAGGATGGCTGAAGGGATGACACAGGGAAGGCAGGTGTAGATGGAGATGGTGCTGACACACGAGGCTGGAGGTGGATAGCAACCCAAGTCATGAATCATTGAATGGGAAAGCAAGGTGCTGTTTAAGCTTCCACCTAAAATTCAATAAAATGTTTTTTAAAACCAAATAAATGAATAGGAAGCAGTGGACTGGGTTGCATTCGCTATGGTTTTGTGTAGTCACAAAAAGAACTAGATTAAATACTTCAATGTCTCACAGATTAAATGCCTAACCTCCTTATTACCTCATATTTGTTGTAGGAGCTAAAAGTAATTGCAGATTTATATTCCCAGGAAAGATAGTAGGAGAGGGGAAAAAAACAACAACAAACAACCTAAAAACCCAAACTTCTAAAGGTATTCCAATGGACAATGGGTTTAAGAAACAGAAAAAGTCAGACTTCAATATATGGTCAAAAGACATGGTTTGTTCAGTGATGGCCATTTCCATCCCTGGGATGATTTAAAAGGGCACTGGAGGAGTATTTTCCAAGATAGTAATTTCAGAATCTGGGGTAAGGGGCTCAGAGTTTCAAACACCTTCCTTCAAGTACCCTAAAGTGCCGAGATTTATGGTTCTACATATTAGCTCAAAATAACTGAGGGAAGCAGGATTTTAGTCTTTTTATTATTTTTTAAAGCTACAGCAGAATGAAATTTATAACTTAGGTGTGTAGAGAAAACACAGTTTGTTGTTTTGTCTTCAACTAATCTGAATATTAGTCTGAACTCTTCAACTAATTAGCTGGAAGAAAAAAAATTCAATATACTTTCAGACATCTGAATTTCAAGTCTTTTTGCTTGCTTAGAAATCGACTCACCCTCTCCAACTCTAAGGTGATGCACTTCATCGCAGCGCAAGAGACAGAAAGAAAGCGTGATTTAAGAAGGAAATTAAAATGTGTCAGTCGAGTGTCTATGAACTATTATCTCTCTTACAAGTGACCTCTGTGTTTCCAGTGTAATATTTTCCAGGCTGCCTCCTTCCTTACAAAATATCCACAAAAAAAAAAGATATTAGAAAACCTTTGAAGCCTTCTAATTCGTCAGTGTACAAAATGCTAAATGTTTTGGTCCAAGGGAAACCACACAAGTTATCCCGGAGTATTTCATTAAAGATACATTTTAAAATTGTAACATTCTTCTAATTTATTTTAAACTATTAATAGAGATGTACTGTTCATACCAACATTTTTTTAATTTTTTTTTTTTTTTACAATTCGTGAAAACATTTTATTGGCCTTTTGGATAGAAACGGGAATTTATTTGCCAGGAAGGATGATCCCATCATACTTCTGCTGGAACCAGCGCATGGCCTCTTCTTT